GGAGAACATTTTATCATTGTCCAGACTTTCAGGACTTGATTCTCTTGTCTAAGATTTCATCACCCAAGCTCTTTAGTAAGTTCCACCAACATTTTACATAAATTCATCCTGGAGCCCAGACTATGTCATTAAGCTTTTTCTTGCTCTTCTCTGGTTAGGCTCACGGTTTAGAGACGGAGGTGTGTGTGTTTGCCCTTTTCCCCATTCTGAGATCCTGCTTTATCACTTTCTGGGACTAGTGAAGGAAAAGCTTGTTACACTAAAATAAAGCATCGTCCTGAATGTCTTTATTCTTGACAATTCATCGAATCATTCAACATTCAGGATTCCACTTAGCTATGGGCATATTAAGTTACTGAGAATAATCTAGAAACAGATAAGTTGTTTACTCAGCTTCTGTATTTGAGCTTCTAAAATATAGCTATATTTATATGATCATGTAAAGTACATTATCCCATAAACTCTGACTATGCATATGGCTATATGTATTAAGACAGTCTGGGACTTTAAAATTTAAAACTCCAAATGATTTTCATGAGTAGTATGTATTAACAAACATAGTTCATTTTTAAAATAACTTCATCTGTGGTTCAAATGAGAAGCATCAAATTGATGCAGGAGATGAAAGTGTATTTTGTATGTTTCTATACATACATAATGGGTGAGGACCTATTGGTGCTCATTTCCACCTATTTTTTAGATGGAAATCCATGCCTTAGTTAAGTCAAGTTGTATTGTACCTTTTCTGCTATTCGCTCCTTGTGAATTTGGCCTTCTTTGTTATAGTGTTTTAATTCAAGTACTTTCCATTTTTTCATGTCTCACATGCAGAAGAGGTCGGCTGTGTTCTCCCCTGACAGCACATGTTTTGGTCATGCTTAGGCTGCTTGGCACCTTCAACGTTGAGCTGCCAGTGTGTGTCCTCTGGACCTTCTTTTTATGAAGAAGGGTGTGAGGAAATTCAGGAATCAGAAGGCTGCCATGTGACGAATCAGCAGCCTGCTGCCATTTTTGAGGATTCTGATAATCTTTGACACCCAGAGATTAGACCCTTCTTTGGATCATACTGAGACACTCAAAAGTCACCCAACTTGTAGCATTTTTTAGCAGCAGGAGCACATGGTTGTAGTTAGCAGGCCAGAAAGAGCTATAAATAAATAAAATCCTTCAGCGCTTGCTTCTTTCATTCAGGGTAGTCTGCTGATAAGATGCAAGCATCTGGGAGAAGAGGAGATTCTCAGCAGGTTTAAGTGCTTACCAAAGTGCTTTCCTGTATCCATGGCTCAGCTGCTAGTCTCCGCTGTGTTATTTTGGCACTCTAGACTTGTAAGGTTGGAGATTCGAGTTTAAAACTCTCAATATATTATTAGAGTAGCCCAAGGTCCCTTCTTGTCAAGGAAGACTAGCTGATTCCAGGGGGAAGGAGAAGCAGAATCCAGGGCACCTGTAAATCCCTGTAGTTTTGTGCTGTGGGTTTGTGGCTAATTATACAACAGGCAGCAGTAATGCTGTAGCTCTGTTGGCATACTTGTTTTAGAAAGAGCAAAGTCGTCCAGCAGAGCAAAGAAAGGGCTTTAAAGGGGATGCAAATGAATGAATCAGTGATCATTTTATCGTAAACTGAAGCTCTGCGATGGAATCAGGGCATATGAATTGCAAGGAGGTGGTAGGGGAGATGCCAGGAGAAATACATGGTTCAGATGTGTTTATAGCTCTTGATTTGGATTCTCCTGCAGAAATATAGTCACGCAAGGAGACCACCACTGGTCACAGCCAGTCAAATTGCTCTTTCTCCTATGGTACTGCTGTTGGTGACTGCTAGTAGGTTATTCAGCCGACCTCTTCTGATTCTGCTTTGCTGCCTGATTTCAAAAGATTCACCCTATATTGCTCTCAGTCACAGCTTGGTGTAACCACTCTTGTTTGCATGCAGCCCCATCATTTTCAAATAGGGTCTTTTTCCCCCCTTCAAGATAGAAGGCAAAAGAATTGGGAGCATTTTTTATGTGATAAAAGATTTATGTAGGGCCAGGGCGAATCAAGCAAAATGAGATTCAGCTGGAAGGGATGGTAAAAGGCTCAGAGAACTTGTGACTGCCAGAGAAGTCAGTGTTCCTTAAATAAAGAGGGTTCGGCTAGCAGGCAGCAACTGACTTTGCATTCATATTGAAGCAGGCTCTCCAGCCATTCTAGGCAGACAGATCAATAAAATCAGAGGTGACCTAATGCCAGGAAGTTCAGAATTCAAAGGATTTCTCTTGTCCTTTTTTAAATTTACTTTATATTGATGTAGAATGCTGGCCTCGGAAACTGAGATGAGAAATTGCCAGATTTAGGTTCTGGTTTATGGCACCATGTTGAACAGTGTCCTTGGAAATCATCCCCTTTGGTTTCTCAGTTAGCACATCTGTAAAATGGAGCTATTCTACTGGAAGAAAAATGATTTCAATATTTATCAAACATTGTGAATGAAGAGTCATCCTAAGTGCTTGGAATGGTCTAAACAGCAAATGTCTTATGGAAAGTGAATTTATATCCCATGTATTTGAAAATGCAGTTGATTGCCTTATCAGAGATTGAGCAATTGGACAATTTTTGCATGATTGGTATGCAGCGGAATGTGGTAGATTTTATTTTTAGCCACATAATAAATGGGAATATTTGACTCATATACAGTCTCTTCCTAGATTGTTTATTTTTGTGCAGACCATGCACCTAGCTGTCTAGAGTATCACAGTGTGTGCAGTATGCCACATTGGTCATATTCTTAAATTGATCCAATAGCCCCTGTATAAGGTAACAATATATATAAATGATCATTATGGACATGGCTAAGTACTTACCTGGTAATAGAGAATTTGTCCTTCCTTCCCTGCTCATCTCCCCTCCAGCCCCACAGATTCTTATTATACCAAAAAGGAAAAGCTGCCTCTAAGCTTGCCTCTTACATGATTGATTGTGCCATTCCTTTAAAAACTGGAGATGTTGGGAGTGTTTCATACCCCATGCTGTGTAGATGGTGCACAATTTCTATAACAAAGCGGCAGGGGGCTCCCTATGAGAGCTCTCGAATTGCTGATGGAGAAGGGCTGGCTTTTTGTTGGTGGTGTTCTTTTCAATTCAGGCCCTTTTCTGCTGAAAACTTGGCCCTCATCCTGCGAGGACTCCCTAAGGGATTAGAGTGGAACTACAGAAGCAGCGAGACCATTTTATTAGTTTAAGAAATTGGTTAACAGTTGAGAGAGATTATACCGGTTTCTAAATTCCAGAAACCTAGATAGATGGAACCTGAGATTGCTTTGGTTATAGGGTTCTCTCTGAACTGAGTGAAATGAGGTTCATGAGAAGGGACAGTACAGGTGACTGCTTTCTTTAGAATCCTTTGTATCTCAAAAGGAGGACTTTCCTATATTCTCATTAGCATCTATGTTTAGTTTTCTTAGTTTCACTTCTCTCTGCTCTAGAACCTATGCATACTTTTTGTTTGTTGATGAGGGCCCAGTGCATTATAACTAATGTTGTCTTATAAAATGAAACCCATTCCCCCTAGTGAGAGGCTCAAAGAATCCAAACAGCAAAGGTGCAGGTTTTTGCACTCGGAGGTTGCTTTTGCTGCCTTATGAATTCACTCTGTGATACAGGTTTGATGCAGAGAGCATTGCTACTCACAAATCACACGAGGTATACAGTTTGTGTGCAGTGATATGTCACAGCTTTTTATTTATATGGCCGGCTCAGTCTGTTCTGCTCCTTTCACTGCCATGGAAAGTGCATCATTTTCCTCCCTCTCTCCTCCTTCCCACATATCATCAACACCACCCACTATGTTCTGCCCATTAAGTCCTCTGTGTGCCAGAAAACCCCAACAATGATTAAATGCTGATAAAAGAATGTTAGAAGGTTAAGATATCAACCAATCAAGCCCCTTGTAGTACTCTTAAATTGTGGGTGGTAAGTATAACTTTGCCCTCTTAACATTGGAAATAAGGGGTTTAATTTGTCTTTTTTTCAGTTGAGGAAATGACTGACACCACATTAAGAAACAAAAAGAGTTGGTGGCAAAGACCAAAGAGAATTCGGGAGGCTGGCTTTGCAGTTTCCGTAATTAACCTAGTCTTTCTTTCACGATTTTGGCACATCCTTTATTGGGAAAATCTAGGGCTAGCCAAATTTAGGTAAGGTTTTGTGTATGAGATGCTTAGAGTTTTTAAGCTTACAGCAATTTTTAAAAGTCATTATTATCCTCAACTTGTTTAATTTAAAAAGTGTTAATTAATTTTTACATATTACACCACTCTAGTCTTAGAATCATTTATCATTACATTCCTGCATGATTTTCAGTTCCTTTAAGCTCCTCAGCTACAAAATACCCTCCTTTCCTTTCCAACGCCACCACCAACACCAGCACCACCAGCAGCACCGGCACCATGACTCTCCCAACCGGATCTATGGGAGGAGGAGCATGGTGGAAGAGACTCAGAAAGGCAGCTTGGGAACCCACTGGCTTTTTTTCTTTGGAGGAGAATTTGTAGGTTCATCACATATTTTACAAAAGCAATTAAGGTGGGAGGAGCTATGGAATCAACTTCCATGGACCTCCTTATTACATTTTTAGTAAAATAGGAACAAGAAAGAAGATTCTGTAAGAACCTTGTCAAGAATTGTATTTCACGTTGAAGTTTATATCATGAATTAATCTTCATGAATCTGTGTTTTATCACTATTCTGCCTTATTTTTTTTGTAATAGAGCTATAAAAAATCCATGGTAAATATGTTTCAACCCTTTTCATCAACAGCTGCTGTGGTGAGGTAGGTCAGGAGGCATGCCTCTTTGGAGGCGCCCTGGAGGTTGAAGGGTAATGAGCACTTAATTATGTCTGCTGACTGCCAGAGCTGCCAAATTGGAGCTCCTCACGACTGGTCTGTATCTGCTCTGACAAATCTTTTATTATGGCTTTTACTAACCTATCAGTAACTAACTGTGGTTGTTTAATTACAGAGGGAACATCCCCACGCTAAACAGGTACCGTATATTTAGTTCTTTTTTCAATTAAAAGCACCTTTTTGTAACTTAGAATAATGAAATCAGAGGAAAAAATAGCACTATGATGGACAAGCTATTATGTTATTTTCTGCTAGGGAGTCAGTCCTTAGCTCCTCTTTGAATGTACTGGGTTGGCCAAAAAGTTCATTTGTTGGTTTGGTTTTTTTTTCCGTATGATGGCTCTAGTAGCACTTACTTATCTTTAACTTCATTCTATACAATTTTGTTAGATTATATTGTGACAGCTGTCATATCAGCATGCATTTAAAAAAACTTTATCAAAATTAGGGAAATTTTGTATAGCCATTTTAATATTGAAGGTGGAAGAATATATGCAACATTTTTAGCATACTATGCTTTATTATTTCAAGAAAGGTAAAAAGGCACTTAAATACACAAAAAAAGATTTGTGCAGTGTGTGAAGGTGCTATGACTGATTGAATGTGTCAAAAGTGCTTTGTGAAGTTTCGTCCTGGAGACTTCTCATAGGACGATGCTGCATGGTCTGGTAGACCAGTGGAAGTTGATAGCGATCAAATCGAGACATTAATTGAGAACAATCATTATACCATGTGAGAGATAGCCAACATGCTCAAAATATCCAAATCAATAAAGTTATTGGTGAAAATGAAAAATGTGTACTCTTTGGCCCACCCAATACTAAGTTATTCTTTCTATTTGGAAAACATGCCTTCAGCTTTTCTTTAGCTGTTCAAAAAAGCAATAGTCAAAAAGCCTTAGTAGGGAAGAGCTCCCCTCTAGCTGAATACAATGGGGAGTTGTCGGCTTGATGTTCAGCTTTGCTGTAAACATCTCTTTTTCTTTTCTTTTTTTTTTTTTTGCTAAGTTATATGTGTAGCTTGGGGCTTTCAGAGGACAACCCCTTAAAGTTACTCTTACCTTGGCAAATAGTTCCTAATTTTTTTCAACTTTGAGTTTCTCTTATTTGCTTCTTTTTTTAGACTTAGAGGAATGCAAATGCAGAAATAGCTGATCTCATGTTTTATCAGTTTGTTAGCTATTTTTCTAAACTGTTAAAGTGTCATAATAGTATGAAAGTCAAGTTTTATTTCAACTTACTATAAGATTCATATTGGAAAGGTATATTTACATTTTGATGTGTATAGCCCTGGGAAGAGGTTTCCATGCCAATATAGCACAAGTGATATTTTAGTATTTTGAGTTCCTCTTGCTTCTGAGCTTAAGCAAGGCAACACAATGCAAGTTTGAGAGGAAAGCAAGTCTGATTAGGATTGAATCTTCAAAATGTTAAAGTAATATTAAGTTGGTGGTGAGCTCTTTGTACATGATCAGTTATACATTGAAATATTTATAGGCTTATGTTTATTTTTGTCCCTCTCCTTTTAAATATTAAGTGATCAAAACTCATTATAGCTTTTAAAGTCCAATTTGGATGGGGAGAGGAAAGGGAGTGCTTTTGTTTGGTTCTCTTGCCTGCCCTTGGAGAATGGGCTTGGTTTATTCCTGCCTGCCTTTAGCTGTCCTGGCCCATGAACATAGTACTGAGGACAACTGAATAGTGGATATTTCCCATGGGGTTCAGTTGAGTGAAAAACTTATTTAACCCCATGTTTGCCACAGTACACCCTGTTAGCTTACTCAGAGGGAGTTCCCTTTGAGTGTTATCTGGAACCCCTTTATCTTCCCTGTCTAATACCAGGCAGGTAGAAAAGATTTAATGCCTCACAAACTTGCTCCTTTAGTAATTATATTTGGTGATCCTAGAAAAGAGGATGATGGTGTTTTGGGAGTTCATATAATTCTAAATCCAGTTTCTAGTGAGCACCATGTATAAGACTTGCTTGCTGTGTGTTTCATATGTTTGTTTGTTTCATTCATGGTATCAATGGTTTCCTCTCCCACTCTGCCTTTCTATTCCCCAGTACTGTCGAAAGGTGAAGTACCTTCTTCATAGTCATTGTTTGCCAAGGGAATAAAAACCTGGAGTGTCAGTCTCTCTGGTCTGTGTGAGCAGTACTTCCATTCTATGAAAAAATTCCAGTGCCTTTTATAATTACAACTTGCAGTATAGTATATACCCAGATCTCAAGTCCACATTGCTGGTTCTCTTCCCCCTGCAACACTGCAGGTGGTGCAGTTAAGGAGATTTTGGGGCAGCTCTCCAAAGTTCAGGTGCCATTGCCTTACTTTGAACTTGTTTCCAATCAGTATGCCGGTAACATGTCAGGCAAGTTTTAGAGGCATCCTTCTGCTTGGTCCTTCCTAATAGGCTGCTCTGATTGACTGGGCATTGGAAATACACTTTATAGTATTATTTATCAGTACATACTGCTGAGGTGCATCAAGGAGTATACAGATTCATTATGTTTTTAGAGTGAACAAATCAGTTCAGTTCTCTTCGAGCATCTTCATTTAGCACCTGTTTGTCATGCTTACACATACTGTGAGACCCATGCTCTGCCCTTTTGTATCCTGCTGGGATTTATCAAGGGCTTTTGGTGAAGGTATGCTATCTTTGGTTTAGAAGTGTTTAAATATAAAATGGAAATTATGCAGTTTGGGGATGAAAATGTCTCCCTTTCAAAAAAGGAGGAGCTATAATCCTTATAACTGCCATCTCTATCAGCCCATGAAAGAAAAAAATAAATACCGCATAAGTTTCTTTTATAGACTGTGACTTGTTTCTGTATGGTAAATGTTTTTATAATGATTTACTAACCCATTCCAAATGACTTAGAGTTGTTGTTGTATGTGCTTATATCTGTGAATACTTAATCTATTACTATTCTTAGAGAAAAAAATGCCTTATGTGTTGCCTAGTTACAACTCACTTGGCTTGCTTACTTCCTTTTAAAATGAGGAATGTTTTAGGGAAGGGGAAGATGCAGGATGGTTTTTAACCCCATGTGCTATTTATTCATCAGACCTGCCATAATATCATTGTATTAAAACTGCCATGAAATTCCTGACAGTCCTTAGATTTTTATTTGGAGCAATTTTGGAGTGATAACAATATAGTTAGTGTGTGTTTATATGTGGGGTGGGGGTAGAATTCAGATGAAAGGGTTAATGTGAATGTAGCAAAACAACCTTACCCATAGTGGGTAAAAAACCAAATCTGCTCTGCAACCTGACCCTAATTCAGAGTTTCCCCCTAGTTCCTTTTCCCTGTTGTTACTCTCCCAGTCCTTGCTCCTACCCTCCTTGTCTAATGCACTTGATTGAATTACCATTTAGAATGTCCTTCTCCTCCAACCTCAACCACTATGGCATGACTCATGTAGCTAGTGTCAGCGATGTGCTGCTGGACAACTCATTCACTCCACCGTGTCAGCGGATGGGCGGAATGGTCTCTTTTCGGACTTTTGAAGATTTTGTCAGGTAAGACACGGTGGAACTGTGTCTGTACAAAGGGAGCAATAGGCGTCTGTGTTTTGGTGTCTCAGATTTCTGCCAAATGAATAAAATTCCCCCGAAGAGCTGTAAGCCAGCTAGGGAGATGTAGCCTTTGCTGCATATGCCCTCGGAGAGGTATATGTCCTTCCATTTCTGCCTCTCATTCAGACTCTACAAGCCTCGACTTGTTATATGGGCCTGGTCAGAAAAAAAGAAACAAACAAAAACCATCTTTTCCTTGGGAGCTAACAGAAGAAGCTGTCTGCTCTGTGATGAGTGAAATGTCAGGAGAAATTAAACACAACACTAGAGTGAGCCCCACCAGAGACGATACATCTTTTGATTAAATGCATTCAGCATCTATCTCTTGATGTATACTGATGCATTACCCTAGGGGGAGGGGTAATTACATTGGTCTGTCACTGCTCCAGTCCCAGGCTCTTTCTGTTACTTTAAGACTGATGATGACAGCAGTGCTCGTATCTTATATATGAAAAAAACGAAACAAAAAAGCTTTAGATCATTCTTTTAAAATATATATATATGGTTTATTAAAGTTGAAACAATCCATCCTCCTAATTTCTGCCACTTGGTGAAATTTTGCATATCACCTCTAGCCACTGGTGATTCTATTCAGTTGACTACTGAGCACAGGGTAGGGTAGATTATTCTTTCAGACTGAGCTGGCAATGGCAGCGTTAGTTTTCTGCTAGTTGCATTTTCATGGTGGGTGTTTTTTTTTCTGGTATTTTTCAGGATCTTTGATGAAGTGATGGGCTGCTTCTGTGATTCCCCACCCCAAAGCCCCACATTCCCTGAGGCGGGTCACACATCTCTATACGATGAAGACAAGGTACACTATCCCCTTTGGGAGACTGCTTTTCTCCTGCAGATATATGACTTCTACTACATATATACTGTCTTTCTGACTTTGGAACATTATAAGGAAGAATCCGTCTTTTTACCCTTCTTTATATTTGTAATTTTATATGTCTCATCAAAGTATTTTTGGAAACTGGTGGAATATAAACCCTAACCTAAAAAAGAAATAAACCCATTAATCCTGGAATCCATAGTGTAGAATAGGCTCGGCTATATCCATTGTAGTTGGCTCTGGGTCTCTGAATATAGTTTCAGAGACTTTAGCTTTGGGTACTTCAAATCGTGCATGGTGATGGCTTATATGCTGGCGCAGTGGTGCCATTGTGGTCTTCAGGAAGTGGTTGACGTTAGACAGCAAAAATAAATTAATAAATAAGTACACATTTTGTTTAAAGCTTTGCCTTTTATTAAGTCCCTTCTTTTAATTTCTCAGTAAACATGTTACAATTGTTGTTGTTTTCCCCTACCAGGTTATTTTTCTGTGGTTTGACACTTCTACTGTATGATAAATTGTTAGGAAATATATTATGTGGGAATATCTCCAGGTGGCTTCTCTCATTTTTCTTTGCATTCTGTGAAGAGATATGGCAGTTGGTTTCATTCCCATTTTATTGATGAAAAAGCTGAGACATAGTGGTCTTCAGGTTCATGTCAAGTCAAGATTTGGGGCCACCTCTAGTTAATTCCATTGCTGCCTTATCTTTTTTAAAAAGTTTTTTTTTATTGACTTTAGAGAGAGGGAGGAAGAGGGGAGAGAGGGAGACATCAGTTTGTTGTTCCACTCATTGACATATTCATCCGTTGATTCTTGTATGTGCCCTAACTGGGGATTGAATTCGTAACCTTGGTATATCATGACAACGCTCTAACCAACTGAGCTACCTACCCAGCCAGGGCTGCTGCCTTATCATTGAAAAATTAAATGTTTTACTTTATTTGATCTCCATTGTGGATTTTGGGTAGTGGTTTCAATTTGCTTATTCGTACTAGTGTGCAAATCAAAATGTCCTGTGGGGCATATCTATTTTTCTGGTATTCTACCAAATACTATAACTTTTCTCTGCCTCTCTGTTAGTCAGCCTCCTAATTTCTTTATCTTGTGTTCTTGGGTTATAGGTCCCCAGGGATGAACCAATTCACATTCTCAATGTGGCTATCAAGACTGACGGTGATATTGAGGATGACAGGCTGGCAGTGATGTTCAGAGAGTTTACCCAGCAAAATGTAAGTTGAGTGGGGCCTGGTGATGATGCTCCTATCCTGCTGGCTGTGTATGAGACCCACCTTTTGATCAGTTGCTACTTGTAAGACCTGTCACTGAGGATGGCTGTGCCCTTTACACAGTTCTGCCTGTAGGGGTAAAATTCCAAAGTGACTTAATAGTATATAATGAATGTCTTTTTATGTCAAGAAATATAGACCTCAACTATATAAAATGTTTTAAGGAAGGAAGTGTGGTCCTAAATCTTTCCCAGAGCTCCAGTCTTGAACTCTCAGTCACCTGCTGAATGTTTTCCTTGGGGGTCTTACTTCCACATGTCCAGGCCCACACTTCTATCAGGTTTCTTTTGGTCCTTCCCTCCTCTCCCTTAAAAGTACCACTTATACTTTCATTCTCCTTTCAGTTAGTTATGTGTAACCTGTATATCTTGTTCTGGCATCAAACTCCATAGTTTAAACCTAAATTGCCATCATTTTCCTTCACTCTTCTGACTCCCTACAACACGTTCTACCTCCGCCCCTCAGAAAAACCCCAGAAACCCCAAGTAACCCGGCCCTTCCACCCAGTTATTCAGAAATCACCGACTTCCTCCTTTCCCTTGCCATTGCATGATGCTACTCCTCTGCCACAGTGTATACGTGTTTATTTGTATCTCATCAGTCACCAAGGTCTGTTAGTTTTTCCTTTGCAGTGTCTCTTTCCCTGCCTCCCTTTCTTTTCAGTTTTTTAATGGAAAACTCCCACTACCATCTCTCTAGTTTAAAACCTTACTCACCTCACACTGGAGACACCACAACAGATTTACTTGTGATCTACCTATATTCCTTCACTCGCCCCCTCCAGATAATTTCTGTTCTGTTCACCACCACACAAAATTAAATGTCCACAATTCCCTTTTACCAAGTTATTCTCCCACTCGGCAATGATTCTCTGTTACCTTCAGGATGCCTCCTTAACTTGGTGTTTAACATCAGGCTATTGATGAAGGCTAACAATCTGGCCTTCACTGTTCTGTGAAAATACGCCAGTCTTTGTGTCTACTCTCTTCTACTGCCCCTCGCCTGGAATGTTTCTAACATTCTCTCTCTCTTTCTAAATCCTGCTTGTTTTAAAGACTGTTTCAGATTTCATCTCTTCTGTGAGTACTGCTCTGAGTAGCCCTAACTAAAATGTATTTTTCTTTCTTGACTTTTTAATTGGTCATCATACATTTATTAGCAATAATAATACTTATTTACAAACAACTTCTAAGTAAAATTTTTTATTTGCACCTCATCACAATCCCATGATGTTAGATTAGTTAGGAATTATTCCAGTTGTGCACAGGGGGGAAAGCTCAATCTTAGAGAGATTAATTAAGGCCCCTTGATCACCAGCTGGTAGATGATAGAGCAAAAATTATCATTAAAGGCTTTGATTCCACTTCTAGAGGGACATAGATCTAGGTGCTTTAGTAAATAATATATTTTTAGCCCTGAAGATGCTTATAGTCTAGTTCAGGGGTGTCAAATTCATTTTCACCAGGGGCCACATCAGCTTCATGGTTGCCTTCAAAGGGCCAAATGTAATTTTAGGACTGTATAAATGTAACTACTTAACCAGGGGCATGGAGCTTGGTACTGCTGCTGGGTAGATACAAGGTGCTGGCCAGATAAAACAAGGTGGAGGGCCGGATTCAGCCTTAGGGCCTTGTGTTTGCCCTGTGGTTTGGTTGTAGAGACTGGTTGGGCATGCTTAAAAGGATAGTCTACCTACAACTACATTTCATTGCAATGTAGGTGCCCAAGTGCCCTCTTCGACTCCCCTTGTGACAAGACCTAAGTGTTTTCTTTGAACGGGAAGCACCTAGCTGTAGTGTTGTAGAGAAAGAATCGAATAGATTTTTTTAAAAACTTAATTTAGCAATATAAACAATTGGTGCCATAGGCATTCACATCACGTAATGCTAATGGTAGATACCTGGGAAAAGATGGTAACTTTGTGCTTAACATGAGTCTTAGCATTTACTTCTAGAACTATGGTGGCCAACATGAAGAAAAGATACTTACAGAAAAGTGAAAATGGGGGACACGCCTGGGAACTTTTCTTTAGAAGAAAAATTTACTGTACTTTTCTTTTTGCCCTTGTCTTGTGACCATATAAAACTAACCCGACACCAGTGACCAACGTAACCTTAGCTGCAAGAAACAACATTAGCTCCTAATGTTGCTCATGGCTGCTGAGGCTGCTGCTTGCTGAAATCTGAAATTTTCTTCCCCTCTTTTGAGAAACCAGTTATTTGATTGCTTTGAATTCAACTGTAGGCTTTTTATTACCCTCAGATCTTAGTGTGGTATATACCATCACATGTTGATTTAAAGAGGCACTTTCTTCCTCTTCACTACATTAATTTGTAACATTAATTGGCAATCAGAAATTACCTTTTCCATTTACTGGGCTTGTAAACTGAGGCACAGGAAAATCCAGTGCTTTTGCCTGTGGCTATTCAGAAGGCTAAGAGTAGACTGTGCCAACATTCCAAGCCTCGAGTAGCTGGGAACTGCATCAAGTACTGTACTTATCCAGGAATATTTGGCATTTTCACATCCTTGTTTTGAAAAAGGATGTAAAAATAAAAAGAAGGAAAAACAATTTTTTTTAAAAAGCTGAAATGATAACTAGTTTTGTTTTTCATTTCATGATCATCCTTCTAGCAGTTTAGAAAAAGTTTCTTTTTTAAAAGCACACATTAAACTATTGAATAGTTTGATCCAAATTGTCCAAATAATCTTCTAGTCCCAGCATGTCTTTTTTTCTCTCATAGAAATTAGGATCATATATTTGTAAATGACTTGTGGAGGAGATTGAAGCAGTCAGTGTAAATGGAGTTTCTCCAGGTGCTGACGCCTAATCGCTGGGTAATAGCTGTGGACTTGCTGTGAGACCCGCATTATTACAATGTAATCAGGATCCTGTTGCTCTGCTGTTATTGTCAGCCACTTGTGGAATTTTAAAAGCAATAACAATTTTGACTTTAAATCATGGCATTATTAAAGTTATTTTCTTCCCTTGTCTGAACATAGCTATTGATGCTTATCTTTGAAGGACTTGGCTGTGGTGGAATCCTTTGTTGGTGGTGTCAGAAGTGTTTCTGTTCCATGGCACACTAAGAGATTGAGAACCACCACCAGCCCACCCCACTCCTCCCTCTCTCCCTCCCTGCCTCCCTCTCTCGTCTCCTCCCGTGTCTTTTTCCTCCCTCTCTCCCTCTCTCCCTTTCTTCCTTTTCTTATTGTAGTATTAATACTTGGTTATTTATAATAACCACTCTGATGTCAGTACAGATCATTTTTAAATGGGATTAAGCCAAAATTTATTTGTATTTCACCAGGGGATTTATTGTTAGGGAATTAATTTTTCCAATTATATTATGCTTATGTTGTTAATTTTACTTCTAAGTAAATGCCATAGCAGAAATTGTTCTCCAATAGGGGGAAATGGCCTGGGAATGTGCTTATTGATAAGGGGGCACCAACTTGGTTTTTAAAAATACATAGCATCATGAAAGTCAAGAATTGCCTTAAGAACATATCTCTTGGTTAGAGTTAGAGCAAAGGATGTGATAAAACTATAGTCTGCATGCGGGTTGTGAAAGTCCACATATTTTTTTCTATTTGTGTTACTCATATATTCTGCCAGGTCATTTAAATGGTGAGATTGTTTTTCTCCTTGTTGCCATGTTGTTAGGGGCCCTTTAAGATCATGCTTTTTACTTAGTTCATTAATCTGTTTCTTTGTCTCTGTCTTTGGAGATAAATGAGCTCTACAAGACAGAAGCAAGCTTAGATCCAAAGGACCAGTACTTATATGAGAGACTGTCTTGAAACTGCTGGTCTCTTTTGCCTTCTAATAAACTGCTCACCCATGGCATGTGGAGATAGGAATAATCACTAAATTTAAAAGTCTGTTAAATACTGTTTTTAGCAATTTTTAAAGAAATTGTAAAAAAAATACCTTCATATAAAGTAGGGGGAGCCATGTTTTAGAAGTGATGAAAAGATCGGGATTTGTTAGGTTAAATTCTAGGAATGCTGGTATGTGATGGTAGCTACTATCTATAATTACATAATAAGTTTAGGACCTGAATTTTCCATTTTATGAAAACTTCCTTTTTCCTTATGACCTGAGTGACCTAAATTCACTTAGCCTTTGTTTTAGTTATAATCTTCACATTTAAACATACCCACCAATGTGATTTCTATAAGCAGAAATTGTGTTAAGGTCTACCTTGATGTGAATCAGACCTTAGAGAATTTAGGTGATTTCATATGACCCTTTTTCCTACAAAGTTCTCTCTCAATTTTACCCAGATGAATATAAAACCTATTCCATATGACTTAGTCCCAGGAGCCAGGTTGAGATTTGTTTATTTGCAGGTTTGACAGTACTGAGCCAAGACACAGACAGACAACCAAAAAGGGTACTTAGCCCAATTAGAGCCTGACGAGGACTGAATGGGGTAAGGCTTAGGGTGAATGGAGATCTCATCTGTTTTCTGTTTTACATGTTTTTTCATAGAAAGCTACTCTGGTTGAGCATGGAATCCGGCGCCTTACTTTCCTGGTTGCACAAGAGGTATTGGCAATATATGAATTATACCTCTCTAATATTTCTTATGCTGCTGCTAGAATTTTTAAAAGTAAATAAATGGAATTATATTCGTACACTTATTTATAGAGTTTATGCAGAAAATAACTGTTTTCTATAAGTTTAAGAAAAACATCAACTCACACCTTTAACTCAGTTTGGTTTTAAATTTATTACTAATTGCCAACTTCTCTTTTTCTTTCCTTTTTGTCTTTCATTTGAAAGGATTTCAGGAAACAGATCAGCTATGAGGTGGATCAGAGATTTCATGTAAGTAAAAGAAACAATAATGAAATATTATTTACTGTTTTATCTGTTTGCCACTGATTATTTAAACAAAGAATGCATGTGAGTTATTTAGAAGGGTTGGACTGACATTTATTTGGTGTCCTTTTTTTTTTAGGAAGTATTATAATGGCGCTTCAGTATAACAAATTCTCAATATAACTTGAGAAATAATTGAGAATGAGCGTATGCATTTATCTAAATGAATAAGGTAGAGAAGCAGGAGCTAACAAGCAATTTCTTCTGAGTGCACAGTGAATTGGTAATCAAGAACTACCAGCCTTGACTGGGCTCAACTGGTTGGGTGTCTTCCTGCAAAGCTAAAGGTCCCTGGTTCTATTCCCAGTCAGGGCACATGCCTTGGTTGCGGGCCCAGGTCCCCAGTTAGGACGTGTACAGGAGGCAACTGATCAACGTTCCTCTGTCACATTGATGTTTCTATCCTTGTCTTTCTCCCTCCCTTCTCCTCTCTCTAAAAATAAATTTTAAAAATCTTAAAAAAAAAAAAAACACTGCCAGTTGTACTTTGGTGTCTGGGCTTTTACCAAAGATGTATTCCAGTTCTATTATTGAGAATTCTCAGTTCTGAAAAACAATAATTTCTTATTAAAATGCCTTAGCAGACGCCAAGTTGGTGCTTTTTGTCTTATGTGAATTCTAGGAGGAGGAAATAAATAAAAATTGAGCAGTAAGTTGCTTGTTCTCCCATTTAACTGAATTACCTGTTAATATTTATGAGATTAAAATTTTTACTGAAAAGAGAAGAGCCTGGCATCTGAACTATGGTATATCCATATGATCATACCCAATATGATGATAGCACTAAGGCCAAAAATCCAGTTTGCAATCAAGATGTTATTCTCTAAAGTGAATGATTGTAGTCAAAATATATCTTTAAAAATTTATTCTAATGTAGCTAAGACTCCAGAGGATATTAAGAAGTCCTAATTTTCCTGATAAGACTTTTATTTGTTTTGTTTTAGCAATTAAGATAATTAAGTTAGTTTTCAAGCCCTATTCATTTGCAATAATGAAGATAGCATTTGGAATTCCAAAAAGGACTTTCTAAACTCAAGGACCTAAGTGTGGTTGCTTTTATTGTCCTTTTGTTTACTAGGTCTTTAGCACCTGACATTTTGTTTTCCTTCTCACAGTTAACCTTGTTGGTCTATTCCAGTGATCTCCAACCTTTTTCATCTCATGGCACACATAAACTGATTATTAAAATTCTGTGGCACACCAAAAAATAAATTTTTTGCCAATCTGACAAAAAATAGGTGTAATTTTGATTCACACTGGATGGCTCTTGTGTTGGCTGTTGTTATTTTTTAATTTGACAATCTAAGGGAAAAGAAGTCAGTGCCCCTGACTATATAGTCAGGCAGTGCAGGTTTTAAAAATTCCTGTGGTGCACCAGTGTGCCGTGGCACACCAGTTGAAAATCGCTAGCCTGGTCTACAGAGAAACAAGAGAGCCTACCCTGCAAACTAAAAAGCTAAGATTTTCTGAAATGCTTTAGGAAATGTTGTGGACTGCACAGCTCCCCTGTGTTATTGATGTCAGGAAACCAAGCAGAGTGCAGATATGCATCAATCAATAACTTCAGATAGGAGACTGGAGGCAGTGAAGAAGTATTAGGAGCTTAAAGAGAACCCTGGGGCTTTAGGAAGAAAAATCCAGAGCTTAGAGAATAAAATTGATACTTGAGGATAGAATATGAGAGCCCGTGAATAAGCACTGTGGCTGGTGGTGCTGATCAGAGCTAAGGTAGACGTGCCAGAGCCAGGCTTTGGGTTTGGGAATAGTATTGGGCTATATTCTTAAGCATTTATGTGAGTTTTCTCTTCTCGCTGACTTTGAGATCCTATATTATTTTGGGGAACAAAATAGTAAAAAGAAAAGAAAGAAAGAAAAAATTGTTTTTCTTTTTCCTAATGGTTCAGATAGAGTCTTTATGTCTATAGTATATGAACTGGTATCCTATAATAAACATTGTTCAATAAATTAATACTCTAGTAACATTTTTAAAAAGCTAAAGCAATTAATTCTCATGGGCATTTTTTATATTTTTAAAGAATTTATTTATTTTTTTAGAGGGATGGGGAGGGAAGGAGAAAGAGAAGGAGAGAAACATCAGTTTGTGGTTGCCTCTCATGTGCCCCCTACTGGGGACCTGGCCAGCAACCCAGGCATGTGTCCTACACTGGGAATTGAACCGACGACCCTTTGGTTCGCAGGCCTGCACTCAATCCACTGAGCTATGCCAGCCAGGGCTCTCATGGGCATTTTTTTGTATGTGTTTTATAAAAAAACTTCATCTTATCTCTAAATCTGTGTTATGTCCAGTGTATGTCTACAGCTTTAAAACACTTTTTTCTCCTTCTTATCCCAATATTTCTAGATTTAGGTTTAATAGGGACATGTACAGGCAAAATCTGCTAGGAAATGAACCCAGCAGTGGGTCTTTCTGGGAATCATGGTCCAGTTCCTATTTATAGTGACATCAAGTGGGAAATCAGTTATACTATCAAGTGATATGATTTGTCATGAGTGTAGGAAAGGTTGCTTGAGGACTTAGAGAAATTAAGGTTTGGGTGTAGACTGGATTTTCTCTGCAGAATTGAATGGCAGAGGAGTTGGGTTATTTTTATATTAGGACCCTTAGAAATGATTAGTGGTTATACAGGGGGCAAGGGCAACTATTACTGAGTTCCATCTAGGATCTACAATAGCCAGGATGCCTTGGCAGGAGCTGTACAAATGCAGGCTCACTGTCATGGTACTGCTCTCAGTCCTGCTGCTGGTGGTAGCTTTCCATTCATGAAGGAGACACAGCCTCTGTCATGTCATCTGATGTGTGCTTGCCCCATAGTTAGTGTAGTGTGAAAAAGAGGGAGCTTTCCGTGAGTGTTAGAGATGAATCCCTTGATCTCTCTGGCTTCTTGGTAATCCACTGTGATGTACGCAGTCTCCTCTGTTCTCCACTGTGACACCCCTATATTATCGAATAGGAGAGAGAATGCATACTTGAGGGGACAAGGAGAGGAGGAAGGTTACCAAGTCTGGTTCAAGAACATTGGCTGGTATGGAATGGAGCCGCTGTGCTGTTGCAAAGTCATCTCAGACTGCTTCAGAGCCAGAACGAGGCAAAAGAGGGCCGGAGTAAGAGGTTCCTAGAGAGTGTGTATTGTTAGGTGTTTATTCAGATGCTAGTGAAAGCTATAAATAAGCATTTCCAAAACTTCATTGTTTAATATCCACAGTCCCCCTGGAGTGTCTGCTGCTACTTTAGTCTCAACTCTATATGGAGCCTGTTCTGAGTTAGCAATATTTACCAGCATTAAGAATGCTTAGTGTCAGGTCTGTTTCCATAACCATCTCATTAAATCAAGTACCTATAATGGGATTTGAATAACTGCTTGACATTGATATATAAACAAAAAAATTGAGGAAAACTGAGCCTATTCCTGTAAATATCTTCTTCATATTAAAAAAAAATGAAACCTTGAAAGCAAAAGAACAGGCTCTTTCAATTTCTGCAGGTATATAAGCTGTAGTTCTCTGCTTTCATGTAGTATTAATTCTCTGATAGTTTTACTCACATTTCAGGTTGCAAAGGGTGCAGCAGAAGGTGCTATTTAATTGTAATATAAGTGTTATACTTTTTGAAGCTTTCCATATTTTTTCAGCCATGTTTTTTTAAGGATACTGAAATGTACATTTTCAGGATTTCATCTTATCCTTTGACACCTAAACAAAAGCATTAGGTCTAAAAACTATGGTGAGATTCTAAATGTTTTGCATCTGTTAAATTTCCTTTTGATTTTTGTTTGTATGATTTCATCAGACTTTTAAAATTCTGCTATAAATCATCTGGGAATACTTCTACTCTTACTGATTTTATGTGAATGACTCCCACTTTAAAATTAAATGCTTTGGAAGAAAGAGCCCACTAATGAAAACACTTATCATGGTTAGTAGTTCATTTCTTTAAAAAAATTTTTGATATGTCAGTTATTTCTCAATAAAGCTGAAAAAATTGGTAGTTTTGTTTGCTAGTGGATCAACTATTAGTTTTTCAGAAGGTTTGGGTTTTTGTTTTAATTACAGTCTATATAATTAGCTCTCAGCATGTTGAGGTAAAAGAGAATTGCACCAGCAAGCTTTCAATTTCTTCATCTCATTAGGTTTTTAACACGATTATTAGTATCATAATCAGCTATGATGTTTACTGCTGCAGGTTTTCACATTCTCTGATTTGCAGGGTGTCTTGATTGGCTAATTTAGGCAAATTATTTTGATTGTCTTGATGATGGTTGGCTGATTAGAACACAGCAGGAGTATAATTTCTTCCTGAGAAATGTTGCATTCTTTTGTTTTTTGGTACCAGAACACTAAGAGGGTTTTTCTTTGTGTACATTCAGTTATGATATTTGCCCATAACACTAGTAGAATGCCTGGAAAGCAATTACATTAGTGATAGAATAAGCATGAATGCTGTTTGTGGAAAAAACTGGCATATGAGGATGAGGTAGGATGAAGGAATTTGCTAAAACTACAGGATCAGACTTTTGAATTTCTTCTTTTGTGTTTCTGTGATTTGTTTCGAGTGCCAAAAGAGATGACTTTCTATCAGTCCTTAGACTTGAAGAATTGTTCATTAATCCTACTTCCCATTGCACAGAAGTTCTTACCATCTCCTGTTCTTAATGCTTCCTGCTTAAATTAAGGACTTTACTGTAGAGCTAAAAATTTACTCAGAAGTTAAAGAAAGTTGTTGATAACATCTCATAACACCTTCTTTTAGCTAACTTTAATGAAAGTTGTTTTCCTGATTGGTGGTCTTTTCCCACTTCTATCAAGAATTAGTCAGTCTCTTTCATTATTTATAGTAAAGGTATTTCTGTATAATTTGTTTTTCATGCTTTTCAGTTACTACAAATTTTCTTAGTTGATTTAAGTAGTAAAGAAGTGGTGTTTTGGTTACTATTGTTATGTTTTTGAAGGAAAATTATATTGGTCCTGCTCTTATACACAGTTGAATAAATGATGTACTAAATGAGTTTTCTAATTAATTAATTAATTAATTAATTGTTAAGGCAGAATGGAAGTGTGTGTGCTTAAAAGATTATTATCACTTTCCTTGACTTTCAGAAAATTTCATGAAAGAATTTTGTTACCCTTTCATTTTTGAGTTGTGTTACTTTAGTTAATGCTCTGAAAGCCATACCTTTCAAGAATAAAACAAAATAAGACTATAAAGCCCCGAGCATGAAACCTACTGACACTGCAGCTGAACATCTTCCTGCCTGACCTTGAAGTCATCCCAATGTTCTTTACTGTCATTTGGGGGAATTACAGAATTATTTAGAATGAAAACATCATCAATAAAAGATCAGTGCTGTGTGAAGTCCACTTTCAAAGGGCTTTTAAGGACCCAAGTCTGGACAAGGGGTTTCCTGGGCTGGTAAACAATCTCCAAGAAGCCTGTTAAATGCCATTGTACAGTTAAAATGCAAGGAAATTGTATGAAGATTTATTAACTGTGCAAGTTAAGGTGAGAGTAGGATATAATAGCTGTGGAAAATATTCAAGAAGTTTTCAGTAAATTCAAGAACCACAAGTTTTCAGCATGAGTTTTGCTTTTCTTTTTTTAATTTTTAAAAATTCTTAATTTCTATTTGTTGTCTCATCAAAGAGAAGCCCTATAAGGAATCTGGATTATAACAGGAATAGAACAACAATGCCCTATGCTTGAGGTGGAGTGGTAGAAATGAAAGGGCACGTAGAAACCCAAGTTCATATTCCAGTCCTGGGCATGTCTCTTGGTCATGGCTTCCTTAGTTGTAAAATGGGATGCCTGCCTTGAGAAGTTGTTGAGAGCATTTGAGGGGACAACTCATGAGAGTGCCTGCCACCCAGAAGGCTTTCATTTCAGTTCATGTTTCTGTCATGGTTCCTAAAGCTCATTGAGGGACATTTATGCAGCTAGTCCTGGTCTCACTGCCTTTTACCAATAAGTGTTTGATTATACTGCACTCATAATGAAGATGCCTAATGAAACCTCCTATAGAGGCAAATAGTAATGACTTGATTCCAACATCACCAGTAGAGCTTCCCATCCGAGAAACAGGGGTATTTGGTGTTAATAAGTTAAATTTCAGAAACTAATGGACTCTGCTAATTGAATTCATCTTTGTTAATTAATAAGGTTCTAGTAAATTGGTTGCTTTCTTCCGTAATGCCCCTGCAAAAGAGCAGTAAGATCAAATGATTCCAAGTTCACTAGTTCTTCCCTCTACATGTAGTGGTAGTGACCAAAGTAACGTCTGTACTTTTCTTTGTCTTGAGACATTATTGTTTAAACCCTTGAAATTATTGACTCGAGAGTGAATGAAGAAAAATACATGAATTGGGATTCTATGCTTTCTAGCTAGTTTACATTTTAAGAGTTTCTTAAGGGGAAACTTGGGAAATCAGTCCAGTAACTATTGCAGTGCTGAAGCTTAAGGGTATATTGGTTTTATTTATCAGAGTGTACCAAGAACAACACCCAGGAAAACTTTTTTTAAAATTTTTACTTGGGAGATGAAAAAAATACTAATTTTTTTCCCTTGGAGAGGGTAACTGTTGACGTTAGGTTAATAGTGTGGTGATTCTCAAATTTGGAAGTGAGATCAAAGTGATGGTTACCCAGAGGATCATCCGTATTCCCTGGGCTAAGCTTCAGTACAGAGTGTATTTTCTAGGAAACTGTCTTCTAGATGCTTGAGTGCTTCTGTACTACGTGTTGATCCCCAAAGAGCCATATCTATGAAGGACTGATACATTTTCCCCTTCTTTTAACACAGAGAGAATTCCCTAAATTTTTCACATTCCGAGCAAGGGATAAGGTAAGAACTGATTTTTTTCTTTTCCTCCCCCTCCCTTACATGCCCAAGAGTGGCTTATCTTTGCCATATACTCTTCTTGCCATTTTTTTCTCTAATTGGATTTGTGCTTCTCTTTGCCTTACATGTATGTGTCTTAGAACAAAAGAAGACTCCTTTCTGACAGTTTGGTTCGGGAAACAACCACATGTCCTGACCTACCCAGAGAAAGCAATAGTTTTCAAAATCATCCTTACGTTTTAGGATGATCCTAATGATGTGTTATTAAAGGACTGTTTTACTTAGTAGGATTATTCTCATCTCCTACAATTTCTTTATATTCAGGTCTTGTTTATGTGCATTAGTTGTTCAATTTTAAAATACAGAACTTTGGACCATGTCGGTTTCTTCCTGTTACCAGCTTATATTTTTGGCTCTCTCCATTCATTCAAATGACATGTACTCTAGAAAAACAATTTATTTATTTATTTTTAAAGATTTTATTTATTTATTCTTAGAGAGGGAAGGGAGGGAGAGAGAGAGAGAGAGAGAGAGAGAGAGAGAGAGAGAAACATCAATGTGCAGTTGCTGGGGGTCATGGCCTGCAACCCAGGCATGTACCCTGACTGGGAATCAAACTTGCGACACTTTGGTTCGCAGCCCACGCTCAATCCACTGAGCTACGCCAGCCAGGGCCTAGAAAAACAATTTAGTTTCAGCAAAATGTACAGTAAATATAAATACAACTCTTTAAAAAGATATATATAATAACATATCAATGGATATGGTATGTTTCAAAACCAGATACCTCTATTTTAAAAAATTATGTCTATTTTTCATGTATTTACTATGTCCTTTGTACCGTGCCAGAAGTGATAGGCATTTTAGACTAGTTGGGTAAATCCAAAACACTGGTACATTGGTATGTGAAGTAGTTGTTAATGTGAAACAGTTTGTAGTTAATTGTAAAAGAATGAATTATAAAGATATTAAATGCTACAGGAGTTCTGAGGGAATTGATGTTTTTTGTTTGTTTTTAATGGGGAGCATCACCACTTGTGAAAGCATAAATGATGAAAGCTTGGGAAGTAAATAGATTCTTTAGTGCCTAATCTTATGTAAGTTACAGCATTATCCTTGTGTACAGCTCATTTCTGTGGTTCATTAGCACATCATAGCTTATGTTTTTATTTTTAAGCATCTCTTTTACATACGCATTCATAATAGAATTTTGTAACCATGTCTTATGGACTGTTTTTTCTCCAATTCTTGTGCTCAGTTTGAGGAGGATCGTATCTATCGTCACTTGGAGCCCGCCCTTGCCTTCCAGTTAGAGCTGAACCGGATGAGAAATTTTGACCTTACTGCCATTCCATGTGCTAATCACAAGATGCACCTGTATCTTGGGGCAGCCAAAGTGGAAGTGGGCACAGAAGTGACAGACTATAGGTTCTTTGTCCGTGCAATCATCAGACATTCTGATCTGGTCACCAAGGTGGGTGCTGTACTTCGATGGGAAGTTATCTCCGAGGGAAGGGACAGGGGAACAGTCATGGTTCAAAATTAGATTTTCATTTTTTGAAATAAAGCTCTTGTTCTTTTTGATCTCACTCTCTAATAACCAGCAGAAGTCTGAGAGTCATTTCTCTCACAGAAGTAAATATCCTGTGTAATAAGGAGCTTTTTGTTTTTTCATTTGAATTTTCTTGGTAATGGAAGAATGATAACACACACTTGAGAAAAGGGAAAGCATGCCAACAGAAAAACCACAGGGAGCATTAGGTGGTGATAGAGGATAAGGGGAAAAGTTCGAAGTGACCCCATTAAACCTGTCTAGAAGCAGGGTGGCTTCTGTCCATAGCAAGGTGCTTCCTGGTGTGATAGTTAGACTGCATCCCACAGCCATAACCTTTCTTCAGCTTTCCCTTTCTAGACAGATTTCTTTCCAGACTGCTCTGTTTGGCATATGTGAGATGTAACCCTTTTGGGGTTCCAGCTCTGGGGATGTCCAACGTCTCCACCTACTGGAAAGAAATGATACATTAGGACTCAGGAGGAAGGGCTGCAGGAATTCTTAATCTGACCCTGCCTGCCCCTGTCGCTTGTGGTTGTTGGGCTGACTAGGGAGCAAGGTAGAGGACATCTGTAGCAGGTGCCTTATGATTCATGACATAGCACTGCTTAAGTAATTATAGCAGTCACTTCTTTATTGCCTCTTTTAAAACACATTAATGTTGAAGGTGATTTCTTCCTGCATAGGAAGCTTCTTTTGAATATCTGCAAAACGAAGGGGAACGGCTGCTCCTGGAAGCCATGGATGAGTTGGAAGTTGCTTTTAATAATACAAATGTCCGTACCGACTGCAACCACATCTTCCTCAACTTTGTGCCCACAGTCATCATGGACCCATCAAAGGTACATTTCTCCTTTACTTCTTTGCCAGGACTAGCAAACGCAAGCAGGGAGATTCATTCATATTTATTCACACAGGTACTTTTGGTCAACTGGTTGAGCCTGTGATCTTTAAAGTATACTGAATGCTTGTAAGACTGGGTTTCTGGGATGGTATCAGAAATTTGCTATCGCCATTAAAAGCAGACCTCAAAACTGAAGGTGGTATGATTTATCTTGCTGGTCATTTATAAGCAGTACAAAAAATAAAACCTCCTTCTCTTTCCCTGTAACTGTATAGTGATACTTGCTATGATAGCAGTCCTATCTTATATAATTACCTGGGATTTATCATCTAGAGTAATTAACTTTGCTATTATTGGGCATTTTGGGAAAATTACTGCCTCTTTGTACTAAATGTTACTTACATGATGACTTTAAGGACATATGTACCTTCCTGAAATGTCTAACCTATTTCTCCATAGGGAAGGAATTTGGCTGAAAGGAATTTCACATGTATTATGTATGTTTTCTTCCTTGAGGCTCTGTTCTAAAATGCATTCCGTATAATTTAAGGAAGGAAAACGAAGTGACTCTATACTTGACCTTTTATTCCACGTGTAATAAAGATAGGCTTCTCTCTCTTTCTGATCCCCCTAACCTCTTTCTATTGTATTGTAGAATCTGGGTAGAAGAACCAGTGTATATCCCTTTCTCAAGATCAGTTGTAGGCATGGACTTTTGCTTTTTGAACTTAGGATCTAAGACCTAAGACATCCTTTTCTACTTTTTTTCTTCAAGACTCCAAGGTGCTGATCAGTTGCTTTAGTATCTCAGGGAAGGCAAGGACAGGACAACTCATTGAGTATCAAGTCTCATCATGCAGTTTAAGCAAAGGTTCTCCTAGGCATTCTGGGACTGCTGAAGCTGAAAAACTTAAAACATGGCCTGGACACTATATAATTATATAACTGTACACACATATATATATATACACACACACACACACACACACACACACACACACACACACACAGGGTCTAGCAGAAGTAACTTCTGCTTGAGTGTGGTTGGCAGGGTAATAATATGGGTGTAATAATTTATAGTTTTAATTGGAACATTTCACCTAAAATGTCATATGGTGTGCTTGAGTGTGTGATATTTTATGTTACAGAAATACACACTTACGGTTTTGTAATAAAAAGGGGGGCGTTATTTGTGCCAGACCCTGTTGTGTGTGTGTATGTGTATATATTTTTAAGTTAGCCTACCACTTCTTACTGAGTTGTTGGTGTCAGCCTCTCTGTTCTTCTCTAAACACTGTGGCTCTGTTTTTCTAATCATAGATAGTTGTCAGTTTCCTATATAGAGAGATTGTTGACTTTGGTTCCCATGAGAAGAGAATGGGTAGATATCTCTTGGTTAACAAGCAAGAGTGGGAATAGAGACATTAACTCCTTGAAACCCATTTTAATCTAAAATTTTGTGGTGCAGAAATAAATCACAAGGGTGGCACATACTTCTGGAAAACCATAAGAGAAGGGTAGGTATGAGATATCTTTTTGAGATTTTCTAAGTTGAGAAAGTATTTTAGAAAGATACTTCAATTAAGAAACATTAATTTTGAGTGGTATGTTCTAGCTTCCTGCAGCCATGTTGCAAAAAATGTTTCTGCTTTAGCGTGTCAAAAAGGAGAAATCACATCTAAAGTTACTTGGTCAAAATAACTCACCTGAAAACTAGAATCACTAAGCTGCCTTGGTATAAAGCTTAGAGAAACTAGAAAGCATCTGCTTCGTATATTTAAATTCCAGTTGGACTTGACAATGATCAAGCTTCAAAGCTCTGTTTAGACAGAGAACATTCTAGTACCACCTACAAATTGCCCATCTTTAATTTGTGCAATTTACCAAGGGACATATATTATAAAGTTTAATAAAAATGTATGGAAAAAAAGCTCATGGTGGTAATTGCTATGTTGATTTAAGGTCCTGTAAGTGCAATGAAACAGAGTTACCATGCATATAAATGCTACTTAATAGCTGTTTAACTAGAGATTTTATTCTTATTTGGGGCTTTCTCTTAAATCCCATGGCTTTTAATTTTAGATACTGCAGATCTTTGATATAGAATATGAATATAATTGGAAAAGGGGAAAGGAGTTGCACGCATTTGGGTGTTGTGAGCCATAGAAAACCACTCACATGACAGGCCAGCATGAAATGGTCCCTGACTTGTTCTAAGCAAGAGTAGGGTTGGGGAGAAACTATATGACTTTCTGTAAGAAATACAGGTAGTACACATTTCAAGAAAACAGCATCTTTTTCCATTCCTCCTTCCCTGAAGATGGGCCGACCTGAAACAGGTCCTAGTTACAAGGTATTTAAGTTTTGTGTTTGGTTATGTGTGTATGTCAGATTGAGGAATCTGTGCGGAGCATGGTAATGCGCTATGGAAGTCGGCTGTGGAAATTACGCGTCCTCCAGGCAGAACTGAAAATCAACATTCGCCTGACACCAACTGGAAAAGCAATTCCCATTCGCCTCTTCCTGACAAACGAGTCTGGCTATTACTTGGACATCAGCCTATACAAAGAAGTGACTGACTCCAGGACAGCACAGGTACAGTAGTCAGACAGAAGTCAAACTTCAAGGTCTCCTCAAAATTTGTATTTGGTCCTACAGATAAGGCATTTGCACTTATTATAGACCACCCAAATGCCGTAATCCCATTGGTTTACCTAGTGAGGTTGTCCTCTGTCAGCTTAAATGATTGCATGAATTTGAAAAACTTCCGGCGCCTTGTAAAATGCATGTATATTGCTAATCATGGGTGTTACAAAACCTTCAACCTTTGGTCATATGTTGGTGAGCCCTAGCAGATGCCAAGTGAACCTAATTCCAGAGGTGATTGTGTAAGTTATGGTTCTTTCTCAGACAGCTCTTTAGCTACTTGAGCAGTCTTGACTTTTCTGACCTGATTTGTCCTTCTTCCTGTTTTCAGCCTAGTTAGACCACTCATTGGCAAGTAAGGAAAGGAGAATTGTTAAAATATGTCACCAACTTCTGTCCTAAAGAAGGAAAATTTCAATGTAAGAGTTTGAGCAATATCAAGCAGTGATTTTTAACATATTTACCCATTGTTATTTCATTTATATGTTACCTTTCCTTCAAAGAGTTCAGAGTATTATATGTCTATACAAAAACAGAGAGGCAAACTTTAACCCATTTTTCAGGTAGAAAAATCAAGAATGTGAAAATGAAAAGCAACTTCCCCTTTCATCTGTTTTACCACCTTAGTTTCTAAATATTTGGATCATTTGCTGTGAAACTGGATTTAGGTTGGTTCGCCATTGTTCATGTCTTTCTCAGAACTGAGGTGTTATTTCAGAGCCTTTGGACGGAACTTGGGATGTGCATTTCTTCAGGTTCAAGGATGAACTTGTTCCACTATGTGTGTGTACACAAAGGTTTCAGTCTGTTCTATGCATTGGGTGCCAGGAAGAGATTATGTCTCTTGTTTTTATCTGTGTCCTTTTAAATCCGGGGACAGAGGTAACAAAAGACATTTTTATCAGTACTTTGAAGATGAATTTTAAAATTCTGAGTTTGGACAGCTGTCAGAGTGACCTTTCATGTTGTGCTTTGAGCCCCAGTTAGATGACCAGAGATCTGTGCTGAGAGAAGTGAACAGTTAAAGCAGACAGAGAGAAGTGCACAAGAGTGTGAGGGGTTAGCAAGAGAAAGGGTATTAAATAATTTTTGCTGCATTTGATGTTTTTCAGGGCAACCTTAAAGACATTTTCAGTAAAATCTTTCCATGGGTAGGGATGTTTTTAATTAACTTATACAATGGCTTCAAGGCAAGTCTATTCTTGTGAAAAATAAGATGGCCGGCCACTTGAGATTTCAATGTTTATGATAAATAAGTTTGTTCCTCATAGCTACTTTTTCCCCTTTCTTTTCTCAGAAAGCTCTTAGATTTCCCTCATGCTGGCTAGTGGTGGCACGGGGGCATGAAAGGCACAGAAGCCTTCAGTCAGGGTTTAGTACTATACCTGGCACAAAATAAGCACTCAGTAAGTTTCCGAATGAGTGAATGAGCTACCTGTAGCCTGAGGGAGAACCCCTTTTACCAAGGATCCTCCAGATTTAGGATCCCTGAAGAAAGAGGTCTCCATCAGGCTCTTCAGTTGAGAGAATTCAACAGCCACTGCCCCATGCGAACTGAAGAGCCCATGGCCAGAGGAGGGAATGCAGAAGAAGGACAGCCTCCAACTCAATTCTGGCACTCCTGATGCCTACCTGCTGCTTATTCGTTTTTTCTGTTTCTTTGCTCCAGTGAGTCATGATATAAATATAAAATAATATAGAACCATGTGTATCATTCATTCATTAGTTCATTAATTTAACATTTTTTTAACCATCTCTAGTGTGTCAGATAGTATGACTACAAAGATAAAAAGTGATCTCTATTCCTGGCTGGCATAGCTCAGTGGATTGAGCACAGGCTGGGAACCAAAGGGTCGCAGGTTCAATTCCCAGTCAGGGCACATGCCTGGGTTGCGGGCCAGGTTCCCAGTGGGGGCCATGTGAGAGGCAACCACACATTGATGTTTCTTTCTCTTTCTCCCTCCCTTTCCCTCTCTAAAATAAATAAATCAATAAATAAAATCTTTTTAAAAAAGTGATCTCTATTCTTAAGAAATTTACATCACAGTGGAAGAAGGCAAATAATTAGTTCCTCTGTAACATGATTATGATTCTGCCATCTTAAAATAACTAGAATTCTAAGGAAACAGAGTATATGGGATTAGAAATAGCTTTCCAAGAGAAGCTCTTTTGATGGCATCTGTTAAAAGATGTGTGATATATTAAATGTATACATATTTTCATGAATTTATAAAACATATACTTTACCAATTTTTAATTGTGATATCCATTATGGTAGAAAATGGAATTAACAGCAATAGCTGATCATTCAGGGGCGTCCAGTACTATCCATTATTGTCAACCTCTTGCTTTGGCATGTTGTTTATTTTTTGGCCAATAAGGAGCAAGGTTGACTGGCTTGAATTTCATTGTTTCATTTTCCTTGTATAGTCTTTGTGGTGTTAGCTGTAATGAACACTCATTTCAGGCAGTTATAGTGGGGAGAAGAGATCTGGGTAATCCATTGCATAGGTCAATCGATTTCCAATGTGTAGTTTAAGGGAGAAATATACATTTTAAAATCACCTTTATTGAGATACAGTTTACATATAATAAAATGCACTCATTTTCCGTGTTCAGTTCATTCTGAAATAGTATACACTTGTGTACTACCATCACAATCACGATAGAAAACATCTTGATATTCCCCCACATTCTCTAATAAGTCCAGTTCTTTCATACTAACACTTTGAATCTCTGAAAACATTAGTATTTCTATCTCTCACATTCATAAGACACTGCTAGCTCTGCCTCCCACCTGGCGACTTTCACCATTGGTCATGTGCAGGAGGACTGAGAACTCCATCCTGCGGGGTTTTAAGGAGCCCAAGACAAGCTAAGCTCTGCCCAGGATAGGACCTGACTGACAAGTCAGCAGAACACACTTGTTCCTCAGGTCTAAGGAAGGGGCTAAGGGTTCCCTTACCTGAACTATACCCAGGGTTTAGCAAAATACTTAATTCTCTTCTTATGGCTGTATAGCAGGCTCACAAATCTAATTGTTAATGGTAGACTTAAGCTTATATTTATTAGGCCTGAATAGATACATGGGCAGATACATATACTTTTACATCCCAATTTCCATTTCTATTCACTGCATTGGGAATCTGCATTTTATGTACTCATGCATGTAGTGCCTAGTTTAGTGTCATTCAAGCTCTGGCACTCAATAAATATTAATCGAATAGAAATAATGGCATTCCTTATAAATATTGTTAAGCAAATAAAATGAAATATATGGAGTATGAAGTACTTTTCTAGAAATATTTGAGTTAAAATGATTAAAAGCTGGTGTGGTGATTTCATTATGTGACAATGTAAGTATTGTAAGAGCTATTCACTAGTTGTAGATATAGTATACTGGGAAAATACGTATGTGTGTATATATTATGTAGAGATACATCTATAATTTAATAAAATATATTTCTTACTATAGACTATGTCTTTTAAGCTAACAAAAGTTAACTAGCCCGATGGATGGATAAAATCCATTTGTAGCAGAAATCTTGGAAGCCTTTGTGTGGCTAATAATACTTATGAAGCACCTTCTAACCAAGTAGATTAAAGCAAAGATGATATGCTAGAGCCTGGGCTGGCCTTCCACTATTGGAGGAAACACAGAATTCTCTTTAATGTGTAGCTGTTTCTCAACTTAAATACTAGTAGCCCTGCTCAGACTGGTTAGTTGTGGTAACATACTTCATTTCTAAGTATGTGGGATTCAAATCACTTTAGAAGGCAGGCATTGTCAGTCTGTCTTTGAAATGTGAAATTTACACTGGGCTTTATTGTTGATTTCAACAAATCCAAAAGTGAAATCAGCCTGTGGTGCATAGTTGGCTGCATACCATTTTTTGCAGTTGGTTAATTTGTAGAGAAGTGAAAGCATCAGGTTACCAGTAGCCAATGTTAAGAAGCACATCTTAGCTACTCAAACCTCCAAAAATGTGTTTCAAGAAATAACACTTGTGAGAAAAGCCCTTCTAGGCAGCTGTCTGATTTTTTTTCTCTTTCTCAACTCCCCATGCCATCCTCTTTTTCCTGCAGATCATGTTTCAAGCGTATGGAGACAAACAGGGACCATTACATGGAATGTTAATCAACACTCCCTATGTGACCAAAGACCTGCTTCAATCAAAGAGGTTCCAGGCACAGTCCTTAGGGACAACATACATATATGATATCCCAGAGATGTTTCGACAGGTAATGGTGGCTAACCGGGGGGCTCTGGCATATCCCAAAGAGGCAGGGTTTTGTTTGACTCTCCCTCAGATGCAGCTCAGACTGGAATGATGCACTCCCAAACAGCAGGGAATGTCTTGACACTTCTCATTTCTATTTTACTTGGGATTTGGTGACTGCCAACTTAGATGTTGGATGGTTCTATATGAACTTGCAGGAGGAATAGTGAGGAGAGAAGCCTCTGCTGAGTAGGCGAGAGTAAACTGAGACCTGAGACCACACGCCTGTGATGGTAGCTTACAGTGACCTGTGTGAGGAGTTATGTTCAGGTATATGTTTCCTAAGTCTATATGCAAATTATGGATATTAAAGAGGCTTAAAACTCTAGTTCTCATTTTCCTGTTTTCCAAGATAACCCAAGTCTCTCTAGCTCATAGCCTAGGTTAATATGGTGAGAATCAGTAACATATACAAATGGGTGTAGAGTTCATGATACACAGTTTAAAGTATCAGTTCTTTGGGGGAGATTTATGATAGCTGAAGAAAAACTAGCATGAGAAAATACGGTATTATGAATCTTATCCTCTGTATGAAAATAAATTCCTTTGATCTGCATGGTGAATCATCTCTATGCTGCAGGTTTTTCTTCCATCAATAGAAGGCAAGAAAATTATATCACCAGCAGAAAATGCAGCAAGTAAAAAATAAGGCATCAAAATAGTGAATTTGTCCTTAAAAAAATCTGTGAATATAGGATTTTTCCAAATCTAGTTAATACCACCAGTATTACCACATTTGAATTTTACTAAGGTAATATATGTGGTCTTGGTAAATAGTCTATCTGTAATTCTTACATTATTCACAAATACAAGAGATTTCCTTATGTATCCACTCATTTACAAGTTCTTTCCCTTGAAACACAGTTACCTTCATTCAGTATCACCGGCACTGTTAGCCTAAAAGCTGAGTGTTGTTGGTTCTGTTTCTCAATGCCAGTGCTAGAAATAAAAATCACATTCTATACAATTCTCCCTATAGTATAGAAACAAATATAGTGATTAGGACATCTAGGTGTGAATAAGTTATATTGACTTTAAGTGTTGCTTTGAGGCAAGCAAAGAGACAACTTAAGTAGTTCCCACTTCATGAGGCACTTGTTTTTGGTAGTAGAAAGTTAGAAATGGAAATCATGATAGTTTCTAAATGGATAGGTGTATTTATCTTTTTTTCTCAAAGTTGAGCAGAATTGGTGTGCACACTTACAAATAGTCATACACCTCTAGTGAGCTAATTCCTGCTTATGGACTTGTAGCTTGTAAAAGATATTAGAAAAAGGATGCCTCTCCTGAACCTCTAGTAGGAATTTTGTTCTTGCCTTCTTGAGATTTCTTAGTATTAGCTGAGTGTTATGTCATTTTCCTGGTTATTTTTCTATTGTCAAGTTTCTCTAGGACTTTTCTTTCTTTTTTTTTTAAGGGAGATTGATGCTACTTCGTTTATTATAATTTTCCAGGGATATTGTTAGGTCTGGTGTATTTGTTAATGCTCTAGTGATTCAGAATCACTGAGTAGTTTGACTTTGTTGGAAAAATGCCTGATTTTTGGCATGTAAAATACATTATATGAAAAATAATAAGCCTATTTTAACTGAGAATGAGAGCTGTAGAATTTGCTCTGGTGTATAGAGATACTCAGCAGAATACTTGGGAAAGAAAGAGCAAAACCAGCTTGACCAAATCTTAACATTTTTATCCACGTTGAAATGCTAATTGTCATTGATTAGTCAAACTTCTCTTCTCCACTAGTCCTTGATCAAACTCTGGGAATCTATGTCCACTCAAGCATTCCTTCCTTCACCCCCTCTGCCTTCTGACATGCTGACGTACACCGAACTCGTGTTGGACGATCAAGGCCAGCTGGTCCACATGAACAGGCTTCCAGGAGGAAATGAGGCAAGTAGCTGAGTCCCCTTCCCCTCTTATTAGCTCTGTGCCCATTGGGACCAGCTTTTCATGGGATGGTTATTAAAGTGTTCATTTAAATCCAAGTAGTAGGTAGCATGGTAGTCTTATTGGTAGAATTCTTTAGAGAGAGAACATTAACTGGTTATCACAGAATTGTTTAATTTTTTTGGTGTGGTAATGATATTGCTTTGTTTAAAAATAATGTTATAGTTTTGCTTTTTAAAAAGGAGTATTCTTTTCTATTAAGTATATGTAATGAAATCATTACTGATGAAATGATCTGATATACAGAATTTATTTCAAAATAATGGGAGGTGAGTGTGGGAGCATGGATCAGAAAAGGTTGGCCATGAATTGTTGATTGAAGTTGGATGATAGATACATAGGAACAGATTCTTTTCTCTCTTTTTGTATATGTTTGAAATTTTGAGATTTTTCTATAATAAGAGCATTTAAAGTATTTTGCTTGATGTTTTTCTTTACTTGGATGTCTATTTGCATACTAGTATGCATAATTTGGTATGTTTCTTATGCTCAGTGACTTGATCTGATGCTGTTGTGAGCATGGTAAATATGTTTGCCTTAAAGGGACTCATTCAGAACTAGGGCTTTAAACATTAAAGAAAGAACAGAGAACCCATTTCAGATTCAAGAATGCATTTTCTAGCCTTGGAGTCCTTTCTGCTATAGTGCACTACTGATAGTGATATAAAGTCATTTTCTCCCCCAATATCCTATATCCACCTCCATGCATTGATATTCTTCCTTATTTTAACTATGCTTCTAATGTACAGTTACAACAACGATTAACAGTGATAAACCTAAAAAGAGATATGTTTTTATCTTAACCTGAGATACAATCCTAGATAAATCTCCTGCCTTAGAAGGAGCAATCTTTCAATTTTACGCAGTATCTTATTAAAAAGAAAATGTTACTCTCTGTACAAGGCATATGGCTGTTTCAGTAAGTATACCAGTGGATACCAGAAGTGGATGATTTGGTATTAAGATGGATGCAGTCATGGACCAGATGGAAAGTATCAGACTTGGAGGAGTTCTTCTAATCTACCACCTTGACAAATAGCAAAGGCAAGAGGTTAGTGAGGAAGGATGCATAGAATTTTGGCAAGAGTAGGTATGTACTCATTAGCACACAAAGTTGAAGCAGAGGTTTGTGCCACTGTGTGTAGCATGTACTTAGTGAGCCCCTCAACAGCAAGGAAAAGCTTCGTTGTGCTAGACTTAAATTCTGATTTCACTGAACAGTGTAGTCTTCAGGAACAGAAGGCACCCTTGTGAACATGAAGCTGAGAGAAAACGGTTTTAACTAATGTAATTAAAACACAAAATGAGATTTTTGGCCATGTGGAAGCTAGCTGCAGTGCTGTGTGAAACCTCTTGCCATGATCTTTCTGTCCTGCTTTCTCTCTGCTCTCATTCTGTGTTTGAGCGAATGGAGACTGGGGGAATAGTGAAGTCCCAGAGGGACAGAGCTCTGTTCTTGCTGAAATTACAAGCACAGAGCTGCCTGGGCATGAACATGTAGTGTTTACTCTGCCAGTATGAATACAAATAGTCTTATTATACGGGACTCTGGACCCAAAGACCACACACACACACACACACACACACACACACACGAATAAAAAAAATTAAAGGTTTTTTTTAACCCCTTTAAGACCCACCAAACCTGATGGAAAAGAGATGTCTTATATATAGCCAGAAGTAGTAGAGTCACATTTCCCTTTGCCCAGTGCTTTAATAATCTTGAAATCCAGAAATCTAACAGTATTAAAATTATTTTTGCTTTTTGTCAGTTCTTACTTTCTTCTATTCTTTTCCCTCCTTAGTTGCCTATTTTCTTTGTTCTCTCTTTTCCTTTTCTTCAAATGATTGGATTTGAAGCTGAGTGTTAGTTTGCTATTTCTGAGTCTTTGAGCTCGGGAGAACTGAGACCCGTGTTCTTTTGTGAACAGTTAGTGACTGATGCCCGCGATGGCCGTTGAAGTCAGTCAGTGGCCGTAGCTAGATTATAGGACACTGCACAGCAGGAGTGAGGTTAGGGTATTAGTATCAAACTCTGTTACCAATAGCTCAAACATACAATGGAGCATGCCCACTGAGAGACTGACCAATCTAAAGATGGAGTTTCAGCAGTCAAAACTGTGAGGGACAGCTGTGCCTGAGAGACAGCACGGTGTCAATACGATGTATTTCCTCATGCTGAGCCCGGCTTTATCCGGGCAAGTTGACTTTCAGCTATTATGGTTTAATTTTCTTTGGCCAAAGAGACAAGTTTGTCACGAGCCTGGCACTCTACATATTACCCCAAGAATGATGTGAGGGGAAAGAAAAGAGCTCATGCTGATGAGATGTGGTGCAAATCTGTCCTGTCCCAAAGAGAATGGGCATCTGAACAGAGCCTTGAGAAATAGTTTTATTAAAAAAGGAATAAAAAATTGACCTGTTAATATTCTGAGAGCCAAGGCTCAATGTAAATGCATTGATGCTACATGGACATTAAATCATTATAATGTGGTGTTCTCCAAAGGTGATGGCTCTACCAGGTCATCATTTTGGGTGATATTGCATTACCTTGAAGGATTGGAGTTCCTGGGTTTAAAAGCTAACACATGACTGTAAGGAAAAAAAGGGAAAACAAGAGATTCCTGCAGAGTTTCCCCATGAATTGAGATGCTTTTCCCCGTAATCAGAGGCAGCAAACCTGCACTTATCAGACCATTGGCCATATGGGTGGCCAGTTTTTCTTCCCTATTTTTTATTTCCAGGACAGTAAATAGGTAAAATGGTGATGGGTCCAGGACTTGGAACAATTCAGTTCCATTTAGTTTTAGGTAACTTGTGTGCCATTTGAGGAAGAATATTGGCTGTTTCAGCAGAGATGTGACCTGCATTTTGAACATTGTGCCCATGTTAAAAGCAGGAGAAACAGAGCTTTTCTGATGTAGTGTTAGCAACTTTCTCCTTTCTATTTTCCTAGTTGTCCCTTTGCCATCAAGAAAGATACAACCTTATGCATGATGAAAGGTATAGGAGAACACATTTTTCTCATTGTCAGATCTGAATGGCGTTGCGTTTAGTATGAATTTAGAGTAGGAGTAAAAGAGATGTAGACCAAATCTGTGAACTCCGTTACTTGCAAATAGCTCCAGAGACGAGTTATTCAGGAATATTTTTAATAGTTTCAAGTAAAGATGAAAATTGAGGAAAATATGATTGCAGCATAGACTAAACTGATTTCATTTCTAGCTGATTTCACGATGCTACAGTGACGGTCACTGTATGTAAATAAATACACAGTCAGTGACTGCGCTGCTGAGCCTGGATACAGAGGAGATGCAGCTAACCAGCAGTTCTACTCTTACCACATCTCAATTTTGGAGGAATTGTTTTCATTTTCCTGCCAGTTTGCTAACCTGTTTTGATCATTTGGTGGAAGCTGTAATTGCAGGTGGGAACATTTTGAGTAAGAGTTCACAATCCAATGCAGCTGCTTTTCGCACTAAATCCTGTTATCAAAAGGCTCAGTCAGGCTAAGATCAAGCCAAGGGCTGTAACCGACTTGACAGTGCAACTTAACTTTGCCTGGTAGGACAAAGAAAACACTAGCCTTCTTGAGACTATGTTATTTGTTTTGAAATGTTATTAGCATTCTTTTGTTATATTTCCTTTAGCAGTTTTGTGAACCAGATCATGAATCTTTAAATCAGGCATTGATGAAAGATGTTATAGAGATGTACCTTTTATAGTAATTTTTTTAGTGAGGATAGGAATTAGGACCCTGCTTTCCTTATTATTTCAGCACATGGCCATTTTAATAGAACCCATCCCATTGCCTCTCATCACTCCTGTTGTAATGAAAAACTGAGATGTGATGAGGAGATGCTGTGTTTAGAAGCAGTTATAACTATTAGGTACAGGATGTGTGCTCCAAAAGGGTTTGGTAATTAGAGACTGAAATTGTTGCATGGTGTTAAATTTTTCCCTTAACATTTTTCAGGGAGATAGGTATACTCCAAATTGAATGCAATTTAATGATCACTTGCACACACAAAATTAAGAATTATAGTGGCTCCAAGGCTTCATTTTTTCCGATGGGCACTAGGTGTCAGGGTTTTTCCTTCTCAGCAGCTTAGCATTCAGATAAGCCTCTTGATTTGCCCTGTTGGGTGAGGCAAATCCAGCAGTATCCTTCCCCCCTTTTTCAGATGGATTGGTAGGCTTTGCCTAGTGTTCCTACAGTATGCAATTGCATTTTTAACTCTTTGGGGTGGAAATCTGTTGAACTTTACATAATGGCTATACACATTTTTATAGGAAACAGTTTTTTAGCAGAGAACGATCAAGGAAAAAAGTGGTATCAATGAAAGACTAGCTGCCATCACAGCTGATTTCTTGGTTTTAGTTCTGCTTTATGTTCTTGGAGGTAAAGTGTTTGAGATAGGAAGTCCAGGACTGCTCAGCCTTGTCCATATTTTAATTGTTGGCAATGTGCTGATGTCCAGTCTGCCAAGGCATAAGTATCTCTTTAATATTTTATTATAAATATTTCAGACTTACAGAAAAATATGGAAAGCAATATGACAAATACCCTTACATTTTCCGACTAGCTTAAACAAATCTTAGCATTTTGACACTTTTCCTTAATGTGTTGCTATAATCCTTTGAAAATCACTAATTTGAGTATAAAGACAAAAAATATTAGGAGTTAGGTAGGGAAAGGAAGTTTGGTAAGTTTATATAAACCTAAAAATTGGAAGAAATTAATTAGTAGATTCATTTTGACAGTTCTAGGCTGGACTTCTTAACCCAGAGGACCTCTTATTTTAGAAAACCACCATAACCCTCTGTCTTAATTCACTTGGTTGACATTTTCCATGCTCTCAAAGGAATTGCTTGGGTTATCATGGATTCAGATTCTAGTGGAACCCATCATATTTTGAAACTCTGACTGCAAAAATGTGTAT